CTGCTACCTCAGCAATGAACTTAAGGAGGAGGTAAGTATAGGGCTCCTACCCAGAAGTGCCAGTTGTGGTGGTGACAGAGGGCCCTGTCTCTTGGCCCTGATGTTTGTAGACACACTTTAGCACACTCGTCATGGGAAATGAGGCTTACCCCAGGAGTGGTGGCCTTCTTCAGCCTCGACTGCTGTGGTTAGACCTGTGCAGTCTGTACTGACAGGTTGAGCTGCTGCTCCATTCCACCATCTGCTGAATTCTGAGTGAGAACCTGAGGAACCCTGGAGGGACGTGATAGAGAGCAAGTGTCAGGGAATACCACAGGAAGGGACAAGGTTGTTGCTAAAGTATTCACACATGAGACACAAGGATGCTCTTCTATAAAGAACAGCAGCTGGTTAACTAAATGTAGTGGTGTCAGGTCACTGGCACTGTTGGCAGTGAAGATGGGACCTTGGACTGATGAAGGGACCCACTGCACTCAGGGCTAACAGTGCCCTAGCTGGCAGTGGTCACTGTCAGACCACAGCAGGGAGAGCAGCACCCTGCTCTGAAGCCTTCAACATCATCTTCTGTGGCTTTCTCACTGCTCAAGGGCTCTGTGGTCTTGGGAATTGGATCCAGGTTTGTTATTAGCAACTGACCGTCGTTACCATGAAAGGAAATAAAAGATTATGAATTGTGTCATCTTTCGTGTTTCTAGGTTTTGGGGTAAAGCAGGGGAAATGTCTACACCATCCACTTCCCAAGTGACTAATACCTGAAGTAGCTTTGCCATTCTGCTCTCATGGATGGATTATTTTATAAAGTTAACTAAAAAGGATTTATTAGAAAAGTGCTGTTTCTTGGACATGGAACAACATCAGATTTACAGTGGTTTCTAAGTGCTTACAAGTGTTTTTTTTTGTTTTGTTTTGTTTTTGTTTGTTTGTTTTCTTCTGGTCACTGACACATGCACCATTTTCTTACAGCAGGGCCCAGGGGCTACTAAGACTAGCATTGTTCACAGCTGCTACTGCCCCATTTATCCACTTAGAAACAGTCAGGATGTTCATCCCTTGTGATCCTTTCTTCCTGTCCACTGCAAGTGAACATGATCCATGCTTTCAATCCTGTGGAACATGCCAGACACATGGCTGCCCAACCACAGTTTGTTCACCCTAAGCAATGCTTTTTTGTTTACCTCTCAGGCCCAACCTGCTCAGTCCTCAATCATTTACAGGAAGGACATGGGAGGCACCTAGGTGCAAACACTAAGCATCACACAGAGCTTAGGCAGATGTCCCTGTCCCACCTGGCTGGGAGCATGGCAGCACCGTTCCCACTCCCCATCACACATGAGGAAATGATTGCCTGCCCATGGCCACAGTGACCTAGCAAGTTTGAGACCATGCAAAGCTGTTCTAGTGCTTTCTAGTCTCTGAGGGTCAGGTGGATTGTGCCAACCTAGTATAGCCAATGACAAGTGGGAAGCCTCTATCTGGGTGTCCTCTCTGCAGCCCTGTTTGTCCTTTTTTCTCCCTTGACAGTCATCCTGAATCCTGCCACCATGGTTATTGTTGTTTGAATTTACTTCCTGGTGTTCATGATCATCCTGGGGGTGTTTCAGAAATGGGATGCACATCAGTGAATCATGTGGGACCAGGACACAGGGAAGGAGAATGAGGTGGATGGCAGTGACTCTGCCTTGACCATCACCATGAACTCCAAAAGGAGGTAGGAGCAGACAGGGCCCCAGGCTACAGAGCACTGTAGGCCAGGCACCTCCATTCCATGGGCCTGCACCTTATAACCACACAACTCGGGAGCTAGGATCTTCAAATCTGGGAGGATAATCTGAGGCTCAGTAAGGCCTTACTGAAGTTCATACAACCTAGTAAGTGTAAGTGTAGAGATGATCTGGCTTCAGGAT